GCACGAATACTTTAGAACTTTAAAAATATATTGAAATAATAGAAAATTCTTATGAATATTTTAGTGTTTCATTTTAGAATCATAAAAAAATCTTACAGATACCGGTAGGCGCATGCAACGTGCTTTATTTAAGCGTCTGCCAATTACGCATTGCTCTCTGTCACTACTACCGTTTGAGGATCCCGTTTGTTCACGGGATGGAATCATTTTTGATTTAACGTATGCATTAGGACTTCTACTTTTATGTAATGGTTTTCAAATCTAAACTTTCGATCTGATTCTTGTTAAGAGTAAAGTTTGCAAAAAGAAACACTGTTATTTTTTCATTTAATCATTTATATGTTATGACTTTTTCTGCACTCTTTTATTTATTTAATTCTCATATGAAAACTATAGACTTTTTTATGTTTATTTACTAGCTTTAAAATTTTAAAAACAAGCAAAAAGTAGAGGAAAAAGAAGTTGACGGAAGGAAATTCGTTAGAATCTGTGGTGATAAAGTCTTTTTTCAGACATATTATCCCGTATTTAAAAAAGTATGGTATCAATCCAGTGACTGGCAAAAAAATGACTGCAAAAGAGTTGATTCAGCTGAAATTCGATAAAGATGCTGATGGTAAGGAGTACTTTTTGAATACTGATTGCTTGGAGTTGAAAATAGTTTATCTTTAAAAGTTCATATCGGGAAATGGATAGTAATCCTGGTCTTGATTTACATTTGAATTCTCGCCAATTAGCTGTTGTGAGTGACGATATATTTTTCCATGTTCAGGAGAATTTAGAATCAATCGGAAGAAAACGAGGTTACGAGAGAATAGTTCACATATGCATACATTTGCAGTCGAATAATGCTATGTGTATGATGTGACCAGAACAATTTTATATCCAGGAAATGGACAGTTTTTATATTTCAGGTAATTTTCGATGTCCTGTTACGTTTCGTATCTTCACACCCACTAGTCATATTGTGGCTATCTGCCAAACAGGAAATGTTTATTCATTTGAAGCGATCGAAGAACTGAACTTGAAACCCGGACATCTGAGAGATCTTCTAACCGATGAACCATTTCAAAAGAAGGATATCGTTACCCTGCAGGCATGGAAACTTTTAGATTCATTTCATATTGTTGCGACAGTGTTAACTACTCAGAATTCTTAAGATAACATTTCAAGATAACGTAAAGCTTTTGCATAACTTCTGTTTCTTATTTCTTGTGCTTTTTGCTTTTTTCTGCTCAGTACACATCAGCATATCTGTAAGAAGTAGGAAGCCAATCAAGTAAGGAAATAGTTCTAGATAGAAGAGTGAAAACAGTCTTGTTTGGCGAGGCGCCATACACAATCTGTATATAGGCTTAAGTTTCTTTCAGGATCCAAATCATTTGGAAAAGTTCAACATTGAACAATTCCATCATGTAAAACTAGATTTGAAGACGAAATCTGAAATTGAAGCTGAAAAGAAGGCCATGGAAGATCCGAAATTTTATATTCGACGAATGAATAACGAAACTAAAGAAGTTTTGGAAAAACTGGCAAAAGAATATGTCCCAGCAGTAAGTTTAAGCGGTCTTTTGTAACTTAAAACTGACAGTGATTCTACTGAATAATTGGTACTATGGGACGAGAAGGGGAAATCATTGGAAAACTGAATTCAAATCTCGAGTAAAGAAAAAGATTTGTGTGCGCATATATAATTTATAAGTTTCAAAGTTTGATTAATTTTTCCTTCGAAACCAAATTTTATTTTTGTAAAATCTAGAAGTCATTCAGAAAACTGAACAAATAGAAGAAGAAGAAGCAGATGAACTCAATGCGGCACATTACAGTCAAGGTCGTGTAGCTGCAGGATTTACATCGACGACGATGGAGCCTGTAACACATCAGAAAGCAGCTACACTTGATGCTGATACCGTCAAGTAAAAAATTTAATTTTTGTAAATGCCATGAAAAACTTGAAGAGAGCGAAGATGGTTTCACTTTTTTTTGCAAGCTTCGGAGAGCTTATGAAATATGAGCTATTTTAACAGTTGCGGCTTTCATGTTCCGTGTAGGATACTTCTTACCAGTTCTTCTTTCAGATATGCGAGAGTAAACAAGAATGGTTATGTAAGAATTATAACTAATTATGGTGCAATAAATCTTGAATTATATTGTAAAGATACACCAAGAGCTTGCGAGAACTTTATCAAACACTGCAGGAATGATTACTACAACAATACCAAGTTTCATCGGATCATCCGCAACTTTATGGTCAAATTTTAAAATCTTCCGTTACAGTTCTTTGACGTAAATGTGAAGCTTATTGCCAGGATTATTATGGTTCTAGCGGTAGTACTCTGAGTTTTAAACCATAATTCAGCGAAAAGCTTTCAAGTGAAGTAAGTTGCATATTGCTAAACAGAGTGAAATAGGTTATTTGGAAGAATTTATAAGTTCTCTTATTATTTAGATGCAAGGAGGAGATCCGACAGGTACCGGTAAAGGGGGTGATTCTATTTGGGGAAAACCTTTTAAAGATGAAATTATACGATCACTTAGCCATAATCAACGCGGCATATTGAGTATGGCGAATCAGGGAACAGATACGAATAAATCGCAGTTGTAAGTATTATGGACTTTTTTGAAGAATTTTTTGCAAACTGTTGGTGTCTTGTATATTTCAACTCTTGTAAATGCCACGCATTTCACCAAATAACTTTGTGAACTAACCATTGATCTGGTTACAGCGTACTTTGCAAGCATTTCTTTTCAGCTTTATAACTTTTCGATCATGCAGTTACCTGGACGGCAAACATACTATTTTTGGACGTGTTGTGGGTGGTACCGAAACACTGAACACTATTGAAAAGATTGAAACTGATGAAAGCAGTCGTCCAATTGTAAGTTTCTAATCTCCGACTTAGGAGTTTCGTATGTTTGAACAGTACAGTGTTTGAATCAATTTATTTTTCAGGTAGATGTGATTTTTCTTAATTCAGAAATTTTTGTTGATCCTTTCGAAGAGGCTGAAGTAGCGGTGGAGAAAGAAAGGGAAAATATTCGTTTAGCGAAGATCAATCAAGAAAGTGGTACGGATTAATTTCCTTAAATTCGAGTAAAGCATCAGATTTCTAGAAAATTACATTGTTTACGTGGAATTGGTTCACGTCAAAAAAAAGGCCGGGGAAGGTTGGGTGTGCTATCAAACACCAGGAACATGCCTTAATAACTATTTGCATGAAGTAGGTGGATGAAAATTCATGATTTCAGAAGCAGTAGTAAGTGCGTCATCTGCAGAAAGGCAAATTCCAAAACCGAATAAATATGGTGTTGGCGTTGGAAAGTACATAAATTTGCCGGAACTAGCTGCCACAACGAAGCGCATGGCGAACGACACCACTGAATCCGGCAAAGCTAAAAAGAGTGTCAAGCCAAATCAGGTTTTCGGTGACTTCTCATCCTGGTAAAAAAAGTCGCTTGAGTTGAAGCTTCCAGAAAATTTTGAAGACGGTTCGTATCTCATTCATTTATGAATGGCATGGAATGCCATGCAAAACTGTAGGTAAAATCAAGTAATGTATGAAATAAATGCTGAAAGAATTTATGGAATAGTGCACTACATATATCTCTTTAACTGCCTACCTATTTTCGAAAAGCTTCCTATGTCAAAGAATGTGTATAGACTTAATGCGTTAGCCATTGTTTTGTAACCATAATTTATTCACAACAGATGTACATGAACTGGACGAGGAAAATAAAAAAACATCAGAAGTTCAACTGAATGTAGAGTGACCATAAAATTTTACGAGAGGATCAAAAAGTTACAATTTTACCGTGTTCGGTGCGCACGTATGCAATATAGGAAAAAAGCACATAACTTTCAGAGCCAATCAGTTTTGAATTAATGGGAAAAAAAAGTGAAAATATGAAATTACGTGATGTGACATCACGCGAGGTACTGAATGTATCTCATCCTTTCTCGCCAATGAGTACTATTATGTACATAGCAAAAATTCATCTGAGAATCAACTACCTAACCTATACAATGAAACAAAATGAAGCTCCAGAACAGATAATTTATCGTACATTAAATTATGAATATCCTTTTATTGGCAGTTTACGGCCAGAGTCCATAATAATTGCTGAGTATCATTTTAGCTAAATCAATTTTAAAAAATTATGGAATGAAAGTTAAGTTACCGCATGAATCCGTGCATATTTTTGCAAAATCATAAATCTATCTTGCATTATTTAGCAATCTGCCCAATGGCAGGAATTACACATTAGCAGTTTCTATCGCCGTCGCCTTCTAAAAGGATACTACTTGGCCAGTTAAACGATAAAATGATGCTTTTGCTGAACAAGCCAAACATATATTCCCTTTACTAAACATGCAAATTGAACATTTGTTTTCTTTATTAAACCTCACCCGCTATCTTTACTAAGCATGCATGTAAATTAGTTGCACTTAGTTCTTAGGGTGGTTGGCAGAAAACCAGGAAAAAAGACAAACTTGGAAGCTAGCAAAAATGACGTCATCCACTGCCGAGCTTACAAAGATTACAACACTTGCAATTATAGAACTCGTACACTGTGAAGATAATGGAAAATAAAAGCGTGAGAAGCTTATGGTTTTAGAAGAAATTAGTTACCAACATATCCAATCCGTTATGACTGAGACTTTCTAACATGAAAATTTAACTTTAGGAATTAAATGAAAAGTGATCTTCCCAACTAAAGAAAAGAGTAACAAAAATGGTATAACCTGAGGAAACCAAGAGAAAAAGACCGCTGTATATACTTTCCTTTTTTTCGAAACCATCCTTTGATAAGTAGCATAAATCGAACCCATACGGTTAAAGATTGCAAAATTCAGTAAATATATAAAGACCATTCCAGTGACAATAATTCGAACTTTCTACTAAAATTTCGAAAAAAACTACCTTACAACCCACCCATGCTCCACAAAAACTTCCATAACCTGATTATCAATCTTTTTCATCCCTTCTTTATGTTGCCGTATCTTTGCCATTTTCATCCCGATTTGGAGGAATTTCACCCCGACCATTCAGTTTGGTTTTTGCCATTTGCTTTTCTATTTCAACCATTTCCATTTCTGCCACACGTTTCTTGGCTTCTTCATTAGCGACTGAAAGTAAATTCTTTTATTTTTCATTCTCAGCTAAACAGACTACGATTGCAACAAAGAACTTAGAGTAGAGCCAGTATTATATTCTCATTTGTCGAAGTATTCAGAAAAAACAAGCCAAATATATCCTGTTTTATAACTTAGACTAATGCTATGAGCATAAATCTTACTAATATTTGAATTTAACAAAATTTCTTCAGACCTGTCGATAAAAATTCGTCATACTCATCGCTCACATCATCATTATCTAAGATCGTGTCATTATTATCCAGTTTACGGAAACTTTCTTCCAGGAAGGCTCGTTCTTCTTCTGTTAGCGGTTGACCGTCGGGACCAATGATGAAACTGGATGAACAAGATGGCGTCAAGCCCTGGTCATTTTCTTTACGATAGTGCTGAAATCAAAACACTATAGCAGTTTGACTTTTCCTGGGAATATCTGAAGATATTTTGATACTGTTCTATAAGGACCAAGGACAGATAAATGACTTACTTTTCCTAATAGGTTAAAATACTTCAAAATCTTGTAACGTAAACCTATCACTTACGTCAGTCGCTAGTTTCCCTTCTCTGTTAGCTGGAAAATTCCTTGCATCCCATTTGTTCTCACGCCATGTGTTCAAACTTAGTATTTGTTCCTTCACTGAACTGAAATCACACCTCGAAATTACTGAACTTTGAAAATTAAACCCACAAGTATGCCAAAAATGTTTTCCTATTTCCAAATGTTTTCCACAAATTAATTATAAACATTACACCTCATTACAAATGAGAACGACAAAGAATAATGAACTCTTAGTCCCCACAACCTTAAGAAGGTCAATCAATCATGGTTAGGCTTCGTAAACGAAGACTTGGAAGGTTTTTACTCATATTTGATGCGAACGCTACTAATGTTGTGTATCCTCCCTGCTTGTGCAGTGGCAATTTGCGCAGAACTGGCCCAATCTTTCACTTCTAAAGATCACCTGTCAGGGTCCAGCGAGCTAAGACGATTACAGCGAAATTCTCAGGTCGTTGGTTATTCTCTCAGATGAATGGATTTACAGAGTCTAATGAGCTTTATCTGCTTGGGTTTGGAGTTCGAGTTGTCCTTGTCCGAGGGTAACACCTTGTCTGATCCTTCAGCAGAGATCTGCCTGGCATGGGAAACCCTACCGGAGACATAAGCCACCGCCAGCATAGCTCACAACCTCACTAAGACACGCAAGGCTTCTCCCTCGCGTCAAGGAAGTATCTGTGAAGCCCGCGTGCTCACAAACCGCGACCTACCATGCTGGTAAGGGAAGTTTCAGGTCGGTAACCTTAACTTACTTCTTAGCTGCATAAGTGCTCTACAGTTACTGTCAACTCCACCACCAAGCAACGGTTTGATAGGAAATTTAGTTGGCCTGCACAGGGTGATGTCAACTTGGTAAACAAGAAGTTTCTAAAGGGACATATTTCACCATACTTGGTATCATCTGTTTTTCTCATATTATAACTGCACAGATGTTGTTGGTAAACCATACTATTTCACAAAAGATGAAACATACAACCATTAAAAAATGATTAATCACTATACGAATAACGATAGGCTTACTCGCTGATAGCTGGATGCGCTTTAGCAATAGCATTCAGCTGTGTGAGAATCTCGTTAATTTTTGAGGTTCCTCCACCGTTATCCAAATAACGACCAGTAAGCTGGAATAGAAGTTTTTTGGAAGTCCCGATATGTAAAGAGTCACAAACTCAAACCAGTCTTATAATTTCTATTGATACCTCAATAAAAACTTACGCAACTTAAAAATTGTAGACAATACCTTAAGTACTTCCACCACCACTTTAACTTTCGAATCATCCAAACGATCAGCCACTAAGACCTCCTTGATTTGGTCCAGTAGCGCGTTCTCAAAGGTTTGCATCTGTGAACCATTTTTCTGAAATTTGGGTTGGATTATTGAAAACTAGTTCAGTTCCAAAAAGTCTGTATAGAAAAGCTCGAAGCCACCATGACGAGAAATCAAAACATCGAGAATCAAAACCTGATAAAAAATGGAAAGTAAAAAGAACCCTTCTAAAATATCAATGTTAATGGTAGGGACGGAGCACAACATCCCATTGAAGCTCAACTAGATTTATACGAGATGAAGTCCAACAAATTTCAAGGAAATAAATGGTGAAGTTGAAGATTAAATGTGAAAAGAAAATGAAATGCTGCACAAAAAAACTTCATAAAAGTAATAATCAGAAGTGAAGAAAAACGACTTACCGATTCCAGTTTTTCATAAATCTCTGCAAAAAACAGCAAAAGATTCTTTCGTTGCTGATCACTGAGATTAGATCTTTGTTCCTCGTGAAAGCATAATAAGCTAGCAATCATGTCATCTTGGAAAGAATGTAGATCACGGCACAAAAATGAACATAATTTTGCCAAATTATATTGTACAGTCTGTGACGATGAAGTAAAAGCTGCCTAGAAATTATAAAACTAAGTTTAAACCAGGAGCTGAAAATCGATGGTCCATCTCCAGTTCAGGAATCCCCACTGCAACATTTTGCAAGTTTAGCAGTTCTCCAATAAATTCAATATTTTTGAATGAGGTATTGTTAATCTCTATGAATCCTAATATAATGTACATAGACAAATAGGCACTCCTGGACTCTGCATAATGCTTCTTGTGTTTGCTCTTTCACTACCTTATCTTCAACTTATTTTCGTTTAAGTCAATTTCAAAAGGACATTCCTATTTCACCAAACTACATTCGTGAAAGTCCAAAATCCTCATTTTAGTCATATTTTCAATGATCACATCAGTATGTCATTTCCTAAAACATTATCGCCCTAAGCGGAAACTTCCTTGCCAAAAAATACATGCACTAAACATCGACGAAAAAGTAGTTCGCATACAAACTTCCATAAAACCGGTTACGGCTTTTTGTCATTAATCCGAAGAGAAAATTCTAGAAATGATAATGAATTCCTACCAATTGAATAATCATTTCAACTGTTATTTTCAGCGCGTCAGTTTTGAATAATGGATTGGTAGTACGCTCCCTGATAGCATTCGACCAGGTTTCAAATTCACCTGGTTCTAATATTAACTGCTCCAAACCGACTTGTATCTAAATTGAAGTTAAAGCTCTAAATTCCCCGAAAATTTTCAAACTACATGACAAAAAAAAAGGAAAGAAGCCTTCAGTCAATTTTCCAATACAAAAGTCGAGTATCGGAAAAAACTTCGGAAACTAAATGGCTAAATTATTTTCGATTCATGTAATTAACAGTTCCGCTAAGGAATTTTGAAAGATAAACGCATTTTTCTACCTATAGATTTCAATAACTGTTCTAGGCGATCAATATTACTATGTTTGGATATATATTTTTCGGTCATTCTCCTAACTATGTATCTTTTATCATCAACTGAAAAGTTAAAATCGAACCGTTTCAAACAAAGCAATGCAGTAATCATAGAAACGAAATTATATAAATAAATGAATAGACAGACTCACATGCATTATGACAAAAACGGATGACATGTAAACTTAAAAAGCAAACCTCCTGTAATTCTTTGGCTCGTTCACTACACAGCATCCGTTCGCAGAGAGCGGGTGAAAGGTTAGCCTGCAGTCCGTAATATCCAAAATTATTACCATAATTTAGTTCTGCACTCAGTGCTTCCGGATCATCATTTGCTATCGGTGGCTCCATATACGGAGTGAACATTGGAATCTCTTGCGAAAACTGAAGTAATGAAGATTTTCAACATAACGATTCGATATTATAATGATTAAGATCCTAAAATGAATAATCGAATAATCATGTCCAAACTAACAATGACTGAATATAAACGCAATAAGTGCGGTTATATGTTTGGGTTTTTGAACATATGTTTGGGAGGCCAGAGTGTCAAAACCGCTGCTACATATACCCAAAATTTTGGTTCAACTCATGAACAGCAAAACCGAAATGCTTGATCACAGCAATTACAATTGTTTATAACAAAAGACTGATTACACAAAAATACATCGAAAATAGATTCTGTACCACAAAAATAAAATAGGTTTTCCATTTTTCGTAGGTAATAGACAGATATAGTTTATTGCATAGAAGGGAAAAAAAAACCACATAATTATCACCGACTAATTGTACGTCGTACCAGTGGCAGCATGATGCACTTCGAAATCAGCACACAAATCGTGAAAAGATTCACTTTAATGCTTTCTCTTCCTGCGCCCTTCCACACTGCACACCCTCATTTTAATTGCTGTATTACACCCCATGAATTACATTTTTCTTCCCAACAATATGTTTATATTAATGTACCACACTCCATCAAATCTATCACTGATGGATTATATTTGAAAATTTTTGATGCAAAACATACCCCTTTATACAAAACCACACTATGGTGAATATACAAAAAAATTTTCACCGACTGATATCATACCCTCGACTTAAACAAAGGCAATCAAAAAATATGACAGGAGAATTTTAACAAATATGGAATCGATTTTTACGAACATATTAATATGCATCTCATTTCAAAGGATATTTGAAACCAAAAAAACAGTTGAGAGTATTTACAAGACAATGTTGTTGAAATCCCCCTACATCTAAGGCATTCATCGTTAGTGTCCGAAATGAGTCCTTATTCCTCACTGATGTACATGGAGTTCAATGGAGAATAGTTAACAGCTTGTGGCATAAGGACAATTGTTCTTTTAAAGCGTATTCACCTGTAAAAACGCAATTTCCTCAGAACAGAGAATCACATTATCTCCACCCTTCCCATTCCGAACGAACTCATCGCGAATAGTGCACTGGAGTGGAAGTAGTACTAGTACTGAGGGGTTCTCTATCGAACTTGTCCATGAAACTATTCATGTTCCACAAAAAAAATAAAGAAATCTTGAATTTGAACCTTGCCTCCGGTCTCATTAATTGATAAAATCTTGAATTGGATAACCAGGCAATGATTAGATCGGATTGAACAGACAAGATGAACTAAGCAGGATAGACAAACAAAGAGCTACCGATCGAAATCCCGTTTCCTGTTCCTTCGCACATCAAAACTGAAGGAAACAAAGGACAGTAGGAAGAGATATGTATGTCCTAATGTTTTTTTAAAGATACAAAACGTATTGCAGAGAGTCCTAGAAGTGCAGCGTGGGAAAAACGTATAAATTTGAAGCATAATGAAATGCGCTCCAATCGAGCGAAACCAGCTGGTATATTTACACAGAGCAGGGGAAATAGCATGGTTACTCGTGCGCACATTTCCATCATCCAGTTGCATTGTTCCTTCGCACAATCTTGTGCGCCCAACCAATGCCACTCCCCCTTTATATTACCAAAATTACTCGCTCACAAATTTCAATAAAATCATATATCTATGTTGCCTTGATTTATGCACATCTACTTCCTCTCCCTTGTATATAACCGTCAAACAACTGCGCAAAGAACGCAGAACAGCGAAACAAATCCCTTAAACCACAGAACAAATGGGATAAATCATCCGTCTATCACAATACGATTCATGCCTTCCCTTTCCCATTCCTCTCAGTGCCATTTCAATCATGTAGGCCTTCCATTATTCTCATGACACTATATCGATCCAAGTTAGATTTTAAATAATATATTGCTCAACGCACAGACAAGCATACCGAAACCCATTAGAACAAACTCACAAACCACCCAAGCTAAACTTTGTTTGGTAGCATAAAATTTAACCTGGTTAATCTGTTTGTTTGTTATGATTTTTGTGTTTTTCGATGGCGTTATGCACAAAAAGAATTTATGATTAGAACCGCTGCGCTTAATCACCTGGATCGATCTCTCAAACAGGACAACAATGCGACGCGTTTAAAATTACCGAATCCGACCACATGGAGAACATAGTTTTACTGCCCTCTCCCTCTGAGTCCCATCACAATTAAATAACAGGGTTACAGAGTTATAATTTGATAATTCTGACTCCCATCAGTTCGTCCCTTGCAAACTAAGTGTATTTCTACATTACAATGTTGAAAAACTTAGCTAGCTTTTCAAATGGAATTATATCAGTTTCAAAGTTCAAATTTGCATTAAAAGCATTATGCAAAAAATGTAATGTTTCTTCGGTTGTGAAATAAGCAGACGGGAAAAACACAAGACGGACAACTACCATAAGGAGATCAAAGGAGAAAGAAAAAGATTCTGTAATCACGGAACTTGCTTTGGAGAATTCCTATCAGCAAATTCTCGTTTTTTGTTTCACTATTCCAACCGGCAGAAACTCAGAAAAAATTTTGGTCACTAAATGCTGAATCAAATTTCACTTGGAAAGATGAATTTCAAACAAACCTGATAGTCGTAAGCATTGGCCGGACAGTATCCATCGTACATTGGGGCATTAACATAAGATGGGATATCATGCAGATGGTACTGAAAAGTTTTTCAAAAAACTGGAGGAAATTGAAATTTGAAGAATAATTCCCACTACTGTTGAAACCAAATACGCCTTTATCTTTTTGAGATAAACTAAGAAGGTTTCAACTTTCATGTAAAGATACTACTCTGGGATCGCATCATGTGATATGTATATAATTTCACATGTGCAATGTTAATCATTTTTGCAGAAAATAATTTATAAGTTAATTCAAAAACTGCAGTTGGAATAAAACAAGTAGAAAATTGACTTTTATGAGTCGGATATTAATAGATTTAACTTAAGCTATCCGACATCACTTCATTTTGGAGGCAATTTTGCAGAAGCCATAGAAAAATTTGAACTTATCGAAGGTTAATGCAGACAACATACCGAATATGCAGGATGAAAAGGTGGCGCATTCGGATTAAGCTGAAAAGTACCATTATGGTGAGAATTTATTGGTGGCTGCTGATATGGGATTTGTGAATTCGGTGGCCCGTACGCATCTGAAACGTTAGGATAAAAAGCCATATTTCAGTTTACCATTTTTTTTTCTTGATAAAGTGAAGACTTTGAGAAATTTCTGTGACGAAATCCACAATCTCCCTTATGAAAACAGTCTACAAATCTAAGTCCGTAAAGCATATGCTCCAAGAATTTCAAGAAGATGGAAACAAAGAGATAGGTAAGGGATATATCACGACACATGGGTAGTAATTTTGAAATGATCAGAAACTATCAAATGAAACTGGTATTCAGAACAAACGATCAAGAACGGATGGGCTCAGAATATCGATAAAATCATGCATTTTACACTATAGTTTGACATTATTTAAAAAAAAACGCATTCCTGAGCGTCACCGACAATTTCACATTGTAAACAGCACCGTCTACCAAGCTCTTTCAAAGCTGATCTATTAACGCAGGCAGCCCTACCAATTCAAGGCTCTTTTTAAAAAGTTCAGTATGTTTCCTCCTATACTCTTCCCTCACTAGTTTTACTGATCCCATCGCATTTTGTTAATCTATCATGCATTATATCACATGAAATCTATCGCTTTAATGCACCATTTAACTAATATCTGACATTCCCAACAAACATTAATTTCACCATTTTTCGAAATATAAGACACAGCTAATACCTTCATCTTATTGTTACCATTTAAATATCTTTCTCACATGCAGCACATTCAGAGCATTATGGCATATAACCCAAACAGAATGATACACGGAGTAGAACGTACCCGAAGAGATCGAGTTCAACATAGGGCTACTATACGGCGAGCGGGTGTTTTGTTGTTGGGATGCTGGATTCGAAGGTGGCATGTTATGTTTATGCGATGATGGGGTTGTGTTCGTGGTTGCTGTCCGGTTGTATGATGAATGCGAATAATTGCTCATTTTTTTTTAATTCCTGACACAACGAAATAATCTAAAAGGATCAAATGTCTTTTCTGAAATGCGTGAAATTTTCGAAGATAAACAGCACATATTACAAGCAATGGGGGATGGAAAGAAGATGAGAGATGGGAATAATTGAATCTTTAGATCGAAAGTTAAAATTCTTGTGACAACTAAACAAATCACTCCACTTCCGAGCATGACAAGTCTGAATAATAAATTTCAATAATGGATGCTTTGAGAAATTGAAGCTTAAGAAACATATTGGATTTAACCCGAAAACCGAAAAAACCTAACTACCCAACCCAAGGTAAACAAGTTTAAAGATCCAACCCCCAACCATTCGGAATTCACAACATATCACGCAGCCGGACATATATGACAATATTATTTCCCAGTCATGATATAGAACTTAATTTACTCTCAGTATCTAATGCTGTAAGAATAAAGCAACGCTGTGAAAGGCGTAAATTTACACATTCATTCACTCATGTAAACACTATTTCGTAGCACCTCAAAATATAGTAAGCGAGGGGGAAAAACAGGAAAAACAGCAAAAAAAGACGATAGAGAAGACAAACGACATGCAAAGATCTAGCATCGATTCCTTTCAATATCGATTAATATTTTAGGTAAATAACTACCGTTTCTTGCGGATAAAAACCATAATAAAAACGTCTCAACATGAGAAAAACTTCCTTCGATGATGCTTGGCTGATTTCCTAAGTCAACTGTTGAAATTTTAATTTCTCAAAAAAAAAAATGCATATTTTTCGGAGGAAATTAGAAAGTTCTTGAGAAAGACAAATCAAATTTAGAAGAAATCTTAATACATGAAGCATAAAAAATAGATCTTAATACATGAAACATAAAAAATAGATAAAAAATAGATAGATTTTTTTTTACATGAATTAATCCCTAACAATATGAAACAATCAGTTCAAGAAATAATGATTGTTATGCTATAAAACAGGAGGAAAATTAGGGAATAAATGATGGCAGTAATATTCCACTGCCACAAACCAATGTTAGGATGTTTTTGGTAGTGAAATTTAAAAAGAACTACCAAATTCACAAATGTTATGCTATGAGAGAATAGTTTTTTGGAAAAAAGGGGACAAAATGGAAGAAGGAAAAGGAAATACTAGAGATCCTTCGAAGTACCAACTGACCCCATATCGAACTTAATCAGCCATTCGAGGTCACAAGGATGCTTGAACTATTGATTAAGCACAATCGCATCAGGTGTAAAATTGTTGGCCGTTCCTAGAACGTGGTATTTGAAGGACCGGGCAAAGCAGAGTTACTGGTGAGACGTGTATTTAGTATGTTACGTGTCTTGAAGGACTCTTCCAGACGTAGATTATGACTTTCTTGATCTTCCTTTATTCTGTGGAGCTTATTGGAATTGCTACTCATGTAAAATTAGACGGATCAATGTTATACATCAACTCGTAGATTAGTTAGAGACGTGGATTCAAAGTCAAAATTTCAAGCAAGAATGTAGATTGTTCAAGTTGAAGTTTTAAACAAGAACTTGACGAATAAATAAATGGGTGTACAGTATTTCATTCAATCATAGTTAGGTAAACAGATTAAAATAATATTGGTACCATGCGAAGTGTGTTTTATGGCAACGTAAGATTATCCTTGTATTGAAATTTGCTTTTAGCAACGCTTCAGAAATGGAAGTGATTGATGCTGGTTCGACGCAAACTCTACGTGAGGAGATCAAAGCTTTAGCCAGTGAAATACAAACCCTGAAGGATGTGAAGAAGACTGAAGATTTGGTATTAATTAAATAATATACATTTCCAATAAGTCATAGTATTTGCATCCTATGCTATAACAAGAAATATAAGTCATGGTAATTTCAGTGTTTCTTAGGAAATTTGATTCTAGAAAGCGGGGTGATGTGAGGAAAATTTGAAAACTCAGAATTGTAAAGTGTGAATGGCTGTATTTTAATAGCTTCTCAAAACACATGGTTCCCATTATTGCCACGAACAGATATTCATCCTTTTAATTTCACATCTTTTTCCTTCAAAAATGCATGCACATAAATCATGAAGTGGAGACATTCGTATCAGAAATTATGGAAATTTGCAAATTTTTGAAGTCTAATGCTGATGTTGATTGTAGATTTAATACTGCATACTTTATGATTTCTTTGATTCTGAAAATGATTCTGTAGTTCCTAATGTTTGTATTGAATTGATTCTTCACTGTTAGAAATTATATGGTTGAGTTTCTTAGACATCTAAAGAGCAAGGGAAAATGTCAAAGCGCTTCTGTGATTCTCGGAGATAACCATCATTTGTACCTTATGTTTATTACTCTTAAACGAAAATTATTTCAAAGAATTCCAATGTCCTTACAGTGTTTATGGATACTTGAAAATAAATTTTCACTTTTATGGATTTGTTGCCGGAATGATGTTCAGTGGCGGGTTATTGGTGTTAATTCAGTAATTATTGCAAATTATGTTTAAACCAAAATCCTCAAGATTGAATTTAGCAAAAAAATCAGCCCATAGAGAATTCATGGATTTTCTGGATCTTTTGCCATGAGGAAGATTGGTACGGACACATAGTAACTGTCGAGTAGTACACATTCGCTGTTGATGTTATCTGTTGTGGGACGTTGGCTGCCAGTTTCTTCAAATCTTATCAAATTTTTTGCTCTTCGAAGGAACGGAACTATCACTGAGGTAATCAAAATGAATATCAGTTCGGCAACAATTCATGGTTTTTTTTTCAAATTTATGATGAGATGAAGTCTTGAAAACTTGTTTCTTTCCTAATATTAAAAGGTTTTGGTTAGGATTGCTAATGTTCGCTAAATTTCGACATCTCAAATTACTGGAACTTGTCGCATGGTTTTCAGTACTATTTAACTGTAGATTGCTTTCAAGAACTTGATTCGAAAAAGATACGTCTTGTATAAATTATCCATGTTTCATGCAGTGGGACTTTTATCACCAACAATTTTTTGTCATTTTTTCAAATCATTAGACTTCTCGAAATTTGTCACTAATATGGAAGCTCGATTTTAGAATTTTCATAGATCTCCTTTAATTGCCATCTAATTTTTAACTCATTTAATCTTCGGTTATGGGTAAAAATCCATCTGATGAAATTATTTTTTCTACCGAAACTTTTTTACAGATTACAGAAAACTTAAGCTGTGTGATTGAGAAGAAACCTTTACCGAGCTATGAATCCAAAAGAAAGTTTGAAATTCGATGTCCAAGAGGTAGTCTCTGAATTTCCCTTTTACGGTATCAAGAAGTTTTCATCCAGGTGATTTTACTTTCCATTCGGTTATTCTAAAGATTTTTTTCAGGTACACGTGATTATGGACCTCAAGATATGGCGATACGAGAGCAAGTGTTAAGTACAGTTACAGAGTGTTTTAAACGCCATGGTGCCGTTACCATTGATACACCTGTGTTCGAGTTGCGCGATATCTTGTTGGGAAAGTATGGTGAAGAAGGTGGAAAATTGATTTATGATTTGTCTGATCAAGGAGGTGAACTTCTCAGTTTACGTTACGACCTCACGGTATGTTAATGAGGGGATTTCAGTTTTACTAATGATATTAAACAAGTTTTAGATTGAATGAGAGGTTCTGAGCATTTCAAAATGGCGTTTCTTTTCTACGTTCTAGTGCAATGGTTACCAACCTTTTCTTGATCACAACTATTATTTGTTGCAGACTTCTTTGGATTCCATTAATTTAAAAATGAACTTTAATAAAACTTTCAATGCATTAGTTAAACATAGAGTAATATTATAATATGAAAAGGAGGAAATATTTTCAATAGAAAATGGAATTTGATTTTCACCAGTGCAAGTATTTAAGCTTCCATCTTCCTTGCAATATTTCCACTCATTGCTGCGCCGCCTTCGTGGAACATCGGTTGGGAATCACTATTCTGCAGTAGAAAGTCTTTCTTTTTTTTCAACTCCTTTCATAGTTACCCTGTCGGATGTGGATTTAAAAATTAGTTGAAAAATTAAAGATAAGTAATTTTCTGCTAGAAGTTTTTTGGAAAGGCTCCATTCAATACAAAAGTTGCTCTATAACCATTCGAACATCACGCTTGGTCAACCCTAGCAATCTTAGCAGTAATGATAACAATTCTTTTGAAATGACCGAAGAAACCCATCATCACATTAATTTTAAATTAACATCGAAATTTTAAACTCCATATGTTCAAATTATGTTTCAGGTACCCTTTGCTCGTTATCTTGCTATGAATAAAACCGTTGTATATCTAAAACGGTATCATATTGGAAAAGTTTATCGAAGAGATAATCCTTCCAGAGGACGTTTTCGCGAATTTTATCAATGCGTGACTATTTTTTTCTTTTTCTAATTTAATTCAATTTTTTACAAGACGAAATTTGAAGATTAGTGGCATTAGTAAGGAAGCTTGCTGATTTTGACTATGGAGTTGAAACTTTGATAGAAGAGGGGAGACCGGGAGTGAGTGGCTATTTTGGCCTCAAGTATTTTCGTGAGCTATTACAAAATTTTGGGGTGCAAGTATTGGCGAAGCATTTTATTCTGATGACTTTGGATTTCAGTTGTTGCTGTCCATCTGTTCCCAAAATTATTGTTGGAATTTTTTTTTTTTAGGATTTTGATATCGCTGGTTCTTATGACTTGATGATTCCGGAAGCCGAATTGTTAAGGATTGTTAATGAAATACTGAATGCATTAGATGTTGGTGCATTTGAGATTAAAGTAAGTTGAAATGTTGGGTGTCATCGCTGATAATTGTCAATTTCTGTCATACTGTTGACTGTTACTCTCTGAAATGTGCCATTTATGGTTTTCGGTGCTGTATTCTAAGTTCTAGAATGTTAGTTTCTTTTTCTTATGGTGGATTACTTTGTAGCTAAGCTAGCAATAAAAAAAGTGAAATTCGTTCAAGTCATGTAACAATTTCAATATACTACTCTGTTTTCAGAAATTATTTCAGAAATTTTTAGGTAAACCATAAATTACTACTCGATGGCATGTTTGCTGTTTGTGGTGTGCCAAAAAAGCACTTTAAAGACGTATGTTCGTCGATCGATAAGTTAGACAAGCTTCCATGGGAAGATATCAGAAATGAATTGTGCAATGAGAAGCAGATTCATTGTGATATCGTCAGCAAACTGGAGACATACGTATGTTTGCGGGGTTTGTTGATTGTATCATTTTCAAAAATTTCAAGTTTTATAAAGCATAGGCAAAAAAATAAGCTTGGAAGAAATAGATGCATACGATTTCATGGACCTGATGAAATGCTTAAACAAAATTCACGACGTCAATAAATAGGATTTTCCTGTGCAGAACAAATACCGACACCATGATATTTTGACACTCATACCGTATTTTCGAAGAACTTTACTAAAAAATGAGGGAGCATAATAACTGTGCATATCTCCTGGCTTACAGTCTTGCTATGATGTTGTTTAAGTAAATATGCTTATTAATTACTAATCCGTCATCAGTATTCATCCTTCCTTTAGTTATGTTTACATATCAGCTTTATGTCATTATCTTTAACTTTCTCTGGTTTTTCATTTAGGATAATACAGTTCAAACTCGTTTTTTTTAAGAACATAACAGCAGCTTAACAAATTTTGATTTGTTAAACTGGTTTGAGAAAGATGAAGCGACATCGAAAAATAATGATATACAGAAAGCGGTGTCTGAAATGAAACAGCTTTTGGAATATTGTGAGCTTTTCGGTGTTCTTTCGACTGTTATTATTGAGCCGTCATTGGCGCGAGGACTTGATTATTATACGGGAGCAATTTTTGAAGTTACTTTAAAAAGTTCGTTATTTTATGATTAAATACTTTGGTTTTTAATAGAACACTAATTAAGTGATAAATAAATTGGATCTATATCTTGATATTACGCATGCAGCTCAGTTAGTTTATATTCAGAATTTTTGCTGTCACAGAACTTCAGTTGAGAGTGATTTGTTGATGAAAATTTGGTATGGAGATAATATTAAATACAGACAGTGTAACTGCAAATGAATTTTAGACTCTGGAAAAATACAAATGGAAAATAGTGAAACCGACGAAGAAACTCGAAGTATGAATATAGGATCAGTTGCTGGTGGTGGTCGTTACGATAATTTAGTATCAATGTTTTTACCGAAACATAAAGTGCCTTGTGTGGGAATATCGATAGGAATTGAAAGGCTTTTTACGATTATGAAGGAAAAATCAAAAGTAAGTAGTGGTGAAAAGTTTCAGGAGTTTCGCTAATTTAAGTCTAAGTTTTGTCTCGCGCTCAAAAATTTTGCTTGTTGTGACGTTCCCGTTATTTAGATGGAGCATGTGCGATCAAAAGATACGCAAGTTCTTGTAGCTTCGGCGCAAAAGAAATTGGTAAAAGAAAGAATGAAGATTTGTCGGTTGCTTTGGGATAATAATATCAAGGTTTGGTGTTAAATAAGTTTTGGTGTTGTCACTTTTTGTTAGCTTCAACTTATCGTTCCGAGACTTGAAACATTTATAGAGCTGAAACCTACATATTTCTATCAAAATACTTCCTTTGTTATTTATTTGTTTTTTGAATTTTAGAAATATTCCAGGCTGAAATGGCTTTGAAAGCAAATCCAAAGATGTTAGACCAAATGCAGTATTGTGAAGAACATAAAATACCGCTAGCAATAATTGTTGGTGAGCGTGAGCTGGAAGAAGGCATTTTGAAACTGAGGGATGTGCCTTCTCGTGCTGAACAGGTATCATTTTGATTTTCTTATTAAAATTTGATTTTAGTTTGCAATGAAGTCTCCCTTATAAACTTTACTTTTCATATACCAATTTATTTACCAAAATATATACTTATAAATACAGTGCTATAAAAGATATCATTTTGTGGTTGTTTAATTAATGTTCTGCAGTAATGTTGGAACATTTCAGGATATACCTCGGGACAATTTGGTTGAAGAACTGGAAAGGCGGTTGCAACATCTGCAGTAGTTGAGATTTGATTAATTGTTGGTCTTTGCTATAGTTGAAAGATTTTTCATTTTTTGGTTTTCGGAGCAACAGAAATGTCAAAATTAACGAAATCTTGTTAGTGAATTATGAACTGGTTGATTTGAGTTTAAATTCTCGAATGACCATTTTTTAGTTTCTGAACTTAGACAGAATAATATTGCATTTTATTAATCATACTTTATTATCTTTTCTCATTGTTCTTTCCTTTTTGCTGCTTGTTGGGTGATAAAATAAAAAGAATATGCTCTCTTCCCGCAATATTAGTGAAATAAATCAAATCTGAAAGAATAAAAAAGTGATATTGCATTTCAGTTGTATACAAAAATGACAAATAGTAGATGGAAATTGAATGAAAAACGAAGGTGTCATCTTACTAATCAATTTCTTATGTGTACAAAGTATTGATAGCTCTGATAGCTCTGAGTAGATAGTGTGATGTATTTCAAATTATTTAATGTTTCTGTCAATAATTCGAGATTTCATGGTTTTTGTCACAGCTATGTTCACATTATTTTCAAGTGTTTTTTTAGTAACTTGATAGTTATCAACATTGAATATCGGAAAACAGAGAAAAAAAACAGACAGATATCATTGGTATTTGTTTTTTTTACCATATTACATCATTCTAAAAAGATAAAATAGCGTGTTAAATATTCGGCAAAGTGATTTTTTAGAGGAATCGTGAAGTGGATATTATTGTAACAGAACTGGTATGATAAACCGATAGTACGGTGCAATGACATATAAAACAAGATGAAATTTTGTGACTCTACCAGTAAATACTGTAATTAAGAAATAACTATCAATTTTTTAATAGTAGTTCAAAAGGATTTCCATCTTCAAATTTCAAAAATTGTCTTTGATTAAAAATTGATGCAAGCATCATATTTCACGAAATCAATAGTTTAAATTGGTTGTTCAGCGTTTTTAAAATAGTATTTGTAATTCCACAAAGATAAAAGGAAACGAGATATGGTACTTCTTAAAATGAATAAACTAACTTTTTTTCTTTTTATCAAATTTTTGTCAAATTTTTTAATTCATTTGTCAAATTTTTTAATTCAATTCGAAAATTTGTAAAGTAAAAGTTGTAATTTTTGATAAGTTAATTTTAGAAATATTACTTCTTGTAATTATTTTAACACGAATTATATTAGTCACACTGGTTACAATTATGGTTGATAAATCACTATTAATTCTTATCATCTGTCTAATCAGAAATCATATTAATTCTTTTATCAGATATAATAATTTTGACCGTATATCATTAAATTGTTTCTTTGCATGTTTTTCGTTATCAAAAAAAAAAATTTGGATATTTGCATAATTTGATTAAATATCCGATGATTTGTTTGGAACTTATTTCATGATTGTATAAAAAAGATGGAATGAAAGAGTGAAATATAGTAGTTTTGATATCAATACAACTCATTAAAAGGTTAATCGAAAGGGTTAATTGGCTAATTGTTAGATTAAAAACAATCAATCATTGAGATAATTCAAAATGTCTGTACAATTCTTTCATTTCCATTTCAGAACATTCGTGAATACTGTATATATATATATATATGTATATATATATATATATATATATATATATATATATATATATATATATATATATATATATATATATATATTATTATT